AGAAAATTGTATATACCAAGTGAACGGTAATCACATTAAAAATTTTAATCACTATGATCCTTTTTGAAACCTTTTATAATTTTGCTTGTCACCTATTCTCGAGGTTGGAAATAATTCTTAAATTGAAGTAACGGTTAGCGATGAAATCGCAATTGAAAGCAAATTTTTCATTGAGAATTTAACCCGGAATCAGCGAAAAATATTGGGTGTGGATGAAGCAAAGGAAGAAAAATAAGATATACAGTTCTGGATAATTTCATCCTGTGTTCTGTTTCTAATGAAACAATTTTAAATATTAGTATTCTAGATTTAGAGTATAATCAAGCAACTATTGCAATTATTCAGAAAATAAATTTTATCAGGTTTCTTAATATTTGTTTAAATTGCAAAAACATAAGAGTTCTAGACAATCATGTGTAGACATACATTTCACTCGCAGCCGGTCCTGAAAATTTAAGCATTTCCTACGTAAAAACACTATCATATATCTAAGCCACTGCCGAACGAATCCTAAAAGCTTTTAACTGACTTGTAGGTATTCTTTGAAATATTATCTCTTCCCTTCCTTCTCATGTTCCCTTTGAACATTCTGACATTTTTAATCGTTAAGAAACGGAATGCATCTAAGAAGGCAAACTATAGTTCGGATACTGTACTGCTCGTCAAAATTAATATAGGGAAAAAAATCTGTTGACGGATTAAAAGTTTCGCCAATGACCAATGGTGTAATTATTTACGTCAATTAGCTGCAACTAAATTGCATAAACGGACTTCTAAGACATAGGTTGGAGCCGCTTAAGCAATGAATTCGTAGACAGCCTGGTTAAAAAGTGGCCAAGAGCAACAACTGTGTCCTAAGACCGTTTTCTGTCATTGTTGCTCGAAGAATCTATACATGACTACAATTAAGTTGGTTTCAGAATGCCAAAAGAATTTAAATCAGTTATTCTACTGCCGCACAAAGACTTCATGAGGTTAGACTCCATGCGAGAAAACCAGCGATTTGGGTCCCAGTCACTTTATCTTCCACCAGGCATTGCTTAAGGTGGGGCCGTCATCATGTTTAATCGAGCCAAGAGAAATGGAACAGTGAAACGTTTGCTGACGAGTCTAGATAAAGCCTAAACAGTGATTCTAGGCATGTTTTGAATTACAGAAAGCGAGAACAGGTAACTGGTTTTCCCTGATACATGAAAGACACCCCTTGCGGAAGGCAGTTCCATGCTTTGGAGTAGAATCATTATAAATGGGAGGCCCACCAGCGGCCGAGCGGTAAAGTCGCTGAACACTGGTAGTTCGGTCCGAGGTTCGAATCCCGCGAACGGACTGGCTGCATAGGTATTTTCCTCATGTGTAACGTGTATACGAGCCAGTTTCCCTTAGAAAATCCTCCACGAAGGCATCCCTCCCCTTAGGCAGATAGCCCTCGAGGCTTTGCCGTAATTAAAATAACCTAACCTAAACCATTATAAATGGCTTGTCGAGCAGCATATCTCTACGGAGGTTTTGTAACCGGTTATAGATACATGAACGAGATTTTAGAGTTCCATGCAAGGCCTTTTAGGAGTGCTGTTGGCCTAGACGTTTTGCTAACGGACTAAGATGATGCCGTTCCGCATCAATCACCTCTAGTGGCAGAATACTTGGAAACAGTAGATATAAATCAAAGGACTGGCGAGCTTACTTACCGGAATTTTGATTTCCGATTTATTTGACTATGGCAGAGCACTCGAGGGCTATCTGCCTAACGGGTGGAATCCCTTCTTGGACAATTTTCTAAGGTAAACTGATTCGTATACATGTTAAAAATGGGAAAAACTACGAAAACGCCCATGCAGCCGGCATTTGAGCTCAGGACCGAACTTCTAGTTTACTTTGAGACTTTGTTGGTTATTCTGGCATGCAGCGGGATATGCACTACTTCTGCTCTCTCCGGATTCCTAAATGAGTCCCTTTAGGTTCCTGACGTATGTAAAAGTCCAAAGATTAAACTTCTCCAGGTGAGATAGCCTTGTAAAAGAAAAGACACTAGTTTTCAGCGAATTTACCGCTCAGCCGTTGGTGAGCTTATCGGTATTGAAACGGATTGAATATGTATGGGATGTCTTAAACCGTCGAATATGAAAGAGCCAAATGCTTCGCAGGATTTTTCAAGTTCTGAAAAGTGTATTTTCAGAGGAATGATGGGCAGTTTCATAAGAGTCGATCAGCAGTTTTGTAAGTTCTTTCCAAGATACTTGTTGCTTTTGTATCACTTTTAATAATTTTTCAATAAGAATTAAGTTTTATTCTAGTAATATGATTTAATTTGGCAAGCAGAGTATGTTTACTTCTGAGTCATTTCTCAAATGAAGAGATTTATTAACAGTTGGCGAATGGGCAGTAATTGAGGAGAAGAAAGACGAAGATAATTTATTACACCATTGCCTATAGTAGAAGAGCTTTTCCACTGCAGCAAAGAAATACTTATCTTCGCATTAAATAAATTTTTAAATCTTCATGGCTACTGTATAAATATTTTTCATAACTGTAATTTTGTTTTTGGCATTTAATATATTTATTCGTTTAATTGCTTATTGCAAAGCACACGAGGGCTAATTGCTTGAGAAGGTGCAGCCAGCTCGTTCTCCGAAACTGAACGCAGCTCGAGTTTATCGTAATTCAATAGTCTTATCTACTTAGTTTCTGCTAAGCCTTGTTGTTTAGGTTTAGTTTAGTATAAATTATCATGGAATACTTTCTTTCGAATTAAACCTATTTAATTTCATAAGGATTTGGAAATATGAAACCCGAACATGTGTCTAGAGAAACCAGTAAGGAATTGAAGATTTCCATTCTGAAGATTTACAAAGCCTTCTTTCTTGTCTCCAAATATTACGGATTTTATGCAACTAACCGTGACTGTGGGAAAATAAGCAAGTTTGATCTAACAAAGCTCAAGTTAAGAATTTTTTATCCATTTTTCATTTTCAGTCCTTTTGATAAGTAAAATGAAACGAAAGTTAAAACTCATTTTAGACCGATTTTTTTCATGTTTTAAAGGTAGGCGTTTGTTAATTTTACCATAATCATTAAAACACATGTTATTTAGCTTTAATATGCATTTGGAGGCAATATGAAGTGCGCCATTCATTTTTCGTAATCAAGCAATAATTATTAAAAAAAAAGACTTGATTCACATTTGGACGATTTCTGGTTCTTCAACAGTACGCTAATCTATTAGCTGTAGAATAAACCAAGCATGTACCTTAAGTGTAAGGAAAAAAAGGTTGATGGACTGGATTGTAGTAGAAGCGCTTTCAAAGATTCAACAGTATCGCCTTTTTCGGCAGCATTCACTTTCTGCTTTAGGTTGCAGCTGAAGAAAGGGTTACTGTTGAATCGCTGAAAGCTAAAATGTAATTTATTTCAATCAATGTTGTTTTTCTTTTCCTCAGTTTTTAGCTACCATGCAAGTCTTTCCTATTTACTGTAATCAGAGGTAGCAACAATTTTGTTTTTAGTTTCTCCTTGAAGCTAGAGTTTAATCTCTTTAGTGAGTAAATAAAGAAAGGCAGAGAAAAAAAATCAAATTTATAATTGTTTTCTTTTTTTTTTTCCATTAGTCTCCTGAGGCTCTAGGTTAAAGACTGAGATAAAGCCCTGAGAAGAACCTTTATGCTTTGCCTTAATTAAATAAACATTTCTTTCAATATGAATCAATGGTACTTACATATTATTCCGTGGGCATTGAGACTCTCCCCGGGCAGTATAATTTAGAGTCAGCTATGGATATGCGTGACGTCATAATTCATTCAGAATGTCTGGGCTTTCGTTTGATGTAAATGCGATTGATTCTCGATAGGCAACCTTTTGTTTTTATGAACAAGGGTGTAAAGTAGCTGCTATTTTTATTTGCATAAAACGAGTTCGAGGGCTGTGAAATCACATTTCTGACTGCACTCCGCTTCATTTAGAGCAAGTTGAGATAATTAACATCTGTTGAATGAGGGGGAAAAACAGCTGAATATAGCTAACAAAACAGAAATAGATTGAAACAATCAAGGAAGTGGGTACTCATAGTATTCTAAACAGAGCTGCCCACCAGTGGCCGAGCGTTAAGGTCGCTTAACACTGGTAGTTCGGTCCGAGGTTCGAATCCCTCGAACGGGCTCGCTGCATGGGCGTTTTCGTGGTTTTCCCCATGTGTAACGTGTATACGAGCCAATTTCCCTTAGAAATTCCTCCACGAAGGCATCCCTTAGGCAGATAGCCCTAGTGTGCTTTGACGTAATATCAATAAACCAAAACAAACTAAACAGAGCTTCCGGTAAAATCGTAGGGCCTAACAAAATATAGAAACCGACAAAAACCTTTTTACTAAGTGCGAAACGTAGCGGGGCGAGTGGAGTTTGCAGAGATAGTGATGAAGTTTTTATTGTTAGATTTACAGATAGAACTGCAGCTCAGAATTCCGCAAGCTTTCATGGTTCTATAGTTACTAACTTTCACGGTCGACGGGATAAGACGTATGTACCAAATGAATTTTATGATAGTAAATGGATAATTAATCTTCGTAAATGGATAATATTAAATGAAATATGCGCTTAAAAAGTTTTTTTAGAGTTAGTAAAAATCCGCCTAATAATATTGTGTTAAAATGATATAACAGACTAATCAACGTTCAATCTTCACTTAATATATTTTAATTACGCCGTGTTTATTATTAACTGAAATATACAAAGAAGCACTATTCCAACTTATCTGTAATAATCTATTCTTTTGCAGGTACATTAAGTGCTGCATCAAAAGATATAAACTACCTCAGTGAGCAGTCAAGCCCAACTAATATGTATATATTTAAAGAGCCTTTTAGATATAGCATGCAATGCAACATAATTTTGTCTGCTTCACGTATTTGGATATCAGAAACAATCAGTTGTTCAGAAACACTCTCGTACAAAAATAAGACATACAGTGGTCAAAATAAAAGGAAATATTCTACGGTTCAGTACACTTACTTCGCAACACAGTGTCCTGCGGTCACGACATGTCTCCAGGCTACCAGAGCTCCGCCGCATCGACTGCCGCCCACTTGGATAAAAGCCTGAAAATTTAAGCAGATGTTAAAAGCACAATTTTAATTTAACCAAAACCAGCGGACCTCTCTTCGTTTTTGATATTGTCGGTATTACCGAAGATAAGCGATTAATCACCAAATTATACAGTAAACCCAAACCATAAGGAAGACTAAGTTATAAGAATTGTCAAAAATCACATATTTTTTGTTCTTTAGTTAGACATAGTTTCATTCAGATTTAAAATTACGACAATTTAAAATTTACTATCAAGTCAAAATGAAGCTATTGCATTATTTATTTTACTTTCCAGCTGAATTTGGGAAAATGGGAATGGAATGAAGTTACATAATTCCGTAGTAGCCATAAGGAGATGCAGTGTGGAAAGTTGCCAGAAAAAGAAATACTTTCACATTGGCAACTGGTTCGCTGCTTCAAAAATCATATCTCTCAAAGAGAAAAGATATATCTACTAATGGTCAGAAATGTTTTATGGCCACTTGAAAAATAAAACATAATTCTTTTTTAACCCTTTGTTGCATCATGTCCACTCTAGTAGACAAAAGTTTAAATTTGTTTATTCTTCTGTAAATGCCTTAACAGATTCCATTCCTGTGTTTATTCAGTTTATATTATTAGAACTTTCAACTGTCGATCATAGATGGCTGTATAGCATCACTAAGTAAAGCACTGCTATTTGGAAAATGGCTGCTACTTCTGTTTCCAAGTTAGTACAATTTTTCATAGTAAACATTATATAATAGTGCTTACATTTTCTTATACTGCCATTTTTTATTCATAATTAGTAATTTTAGACATTTTGTAAATGTCAGTTTGAGAAAATTTCGGAGTGGGTAGATAAAGATTTACCGAAAAGAGTGAATTGAAACTCAAATGTAGTGCTTATCAAGTCAAAACACCACTGGAAATGTTTATGTTTGGCAAGGAATTTCTAGAACATTTGACATTTGAATCCAATAGGTACAGGTTACAAAACCGTAGCAAAATGAATTCAATCACAGTCGACGAAATGAAGTTATTTTGGAAGATCTGTATGTACATGTCAGTTGTAGATTTACCATTTAGAAGATGGTAATGATCACTGCAAACAAGGCAGGAAATGATTTCAAATGTAATGACCGTAAAAGTTGGGAAGAGATTTGTATGCATGTACGTATATTCATGTTGTCCACTGTAGTGAACAAACTGTAGCAATTATTTAAAACGAAATTTGAATAAAATAATTTTTTTTTATTGCTAAGGTTATTTTAAGTAGAAAACATACAAACATTTTAGTTTAACTTCTCTAGATTATTTGTATGCAACAAAGGGTTAAAAAGGAATTTGTATTTTTGGAAATAAAATTTTTCCCTGTATTTCCGTTAAAATTGCATTATTAAAAGATCCTTTTTTATTTTTGTTTTAATTTTTTATAATTAATTTTTTATTTTTTACATGGGGTACTGAAATCATTCGTCGCCAGTGCAAAAACCAAGCATGTACCTTATTTTTTCTCTGTCTAGATAATAAACAGTCTCTAGCACCTGGTGGTCCCAGAACTATTGTGATAATACAATTTATCTTGAAAAAAATAAGCAATATACAACCTTCAATAAAACATTTACTATCTTTTTACTTATAACTTACTTATGTGCCTATATGAAGTGTTCGGAAAAAGGTAGCAACAAGCTTTATTTTTTAAATAATTATCCTAAACAATATTCATCGTTGATACTTATCGGTTATCATATTTTCTTGGCGACAAAATATTTCCAGTGAGATTTTGGTCAAGATTATCTAATTTTTAGTTTTTTGTCTATAAGAGGTATATTCGTGGTGACGATCGCCCGCCAGTGCCTAAACACTTGTGATACGACCAGGTTCGAATCCTGGAGAACGCGCTGGCTACATGGGAATTTCCATGTGTAATTTGGATACGAGCAAGCTTCCCTAAAATGCCTTCACAAAAGCATCCTTCCTTACAGGCAAATAGCCCACCAGCGGCCGAGCGGTAACGTCGCTGAACACTGGTAGTTCGGTCTGAGGTTCGAATCCCGCGAACGGGCTGGCTGCATGGGTGTTTTCGAGGTTTTCCCCATGTGTAACGTGTATACGAGCCAGTTTCCCTTAAAAAGTCCTCCACGAAGGCATCCCTCCCTTAAGGTAGATAGCCCTCGAGTGCTTTGCCATAATCTAATAAACTAAAAACCAAACCTTACAGGCAAATAGTCCTCAAATTGCTTTGCCTTAAGTAATTAACGTGACTTCACCTGGTGACAGTCATTTGCAATTTTTCGTCTCACGTTTCAGTATATCAATTTCGCTCGTTACTTTTCTTTCACTTTAGTAGCAACACATTAATTAATAATATCAAGCAAATACAGTTTATAGAACTTTCCTTCAATGAAACTAAATGCTTGCAGCTGTCTTTCAAGAGATTGGTGTTCACCTTTGGTCGATAGCTAGACCACTGAGAGCTCTATTTTTGTTATTACGTGCTTCGTCATTAGGCACTACACGGAAAGAAAGGATGCTCCGTATAAGATTTTTTAAGGGAAATTCGCTCGTATCCTAATCACACACGGGAAAAAACACCAAAACACCCACACAGCTTTACCATCCCTGGACCGAACCACCAGTGTTCAGCGGCTTTTACAGCTGCGCTCGGGCTCGAATTCCTGCAAAGGGGCTGGCTGCGTGAGCGTTTTGGCATTTTTTTTCTCCTTGCGTAAAGTGAGTAAGAGACTGTTCAGCTTAAAATGTCTTCCGTGAAGGCCTTAGGATGATAGCTCTAGCGTTACGATACCATAATTCGAGTAATTGAACCGAAATGTTTTTTAGAATTACTAAAATATCACTAGAGAAATCTTGTAGTTAAAATATCATGTGCAGGAGAATGTGGTATAACCAATAAGTTTATCATTCGACTCTAGGCAAGTTTCTCAAAGTACGAAAAATATTTTTTATAAGAATAATTTTTAACACCTAGGGTGGAAAAGTTCCTTAAGCAAAAAAATGTAATTGATTTCACTAGCTCAATGCCAGTTAGTAAGATATTCAAAAGGCTTCAGCAGAGGGAAAAACAGTTGCATTTGTAAAATTTAGAAATATGTATCTTTTAACATGCTTTTTATGTAAATATAACAACGGATAAATTAAAGAAAAGAAAGATTCCGAGATTTGTAAATTCATAAGACTATATCTTCAGAAAAATAACAATGTATTTTTTCATGTTCCTATTGTAAGCATTTCCTTAACTGTCAGAAATGACAAATTAGCAAACGTAGAATTCTATTAAAAGGAAAGTTTAAGACTAATATAAGCGAGATTTTAAGTTTGATGCATATATCTTTTATTGTAACATCGTTCATTTCATAATCAGTCATTTAATAAACAATGGATAAAAGTTTATTCCAGACTGATAGAATTGGGGAAGTAAATTGTGCATTTCGCATATAAACTAGTCCAGTATGAATATCTGATATTGTTTGTCCTTTTTCTCTCTTTGAATTCCATAAAGTAATTCATAAAAAAGAAAAGAGTATTTAAATCATAACTAAATTTATCCCTAACGCAGTCTTTGATTAACAATTGAAGAAATTTACAGTATGGAATTTTCGGTGCCGTATTCTTTGCATCAAAAATCTAAGCAAGGCCAAATAAAAAAGCATTGGAATTACCTTGTTTCCGGAAAATGCCTTACCTGAACAACTTTCTATTTTTAATGCGTATTGCCTTTTCCTACCTGATCACCGGTATATTTTTCTACGTAATAAAGATACATATAATTTACTTACCTATGCTTGCTGGAACAGCCCCAACAAGTAGCAAGTACTTGCAGCAAATATTTGGGTTTTATTTACTCAGAGAATATGCAAATTGAACATGTTTGTTACAACTTGTTGCTGAAGAGCATTCTGGTTATGTGAATCGAATTTTGAAAGTAATTGTAGATTAGAAATTAAGCAAATTCCTCAAAGCCGCTGGTACAGAATGCCTGTAAATTGTAGGATGGGTATGATGGTAAAGGAAGATTATTGCATTGGTGGAAAATGAAATAAATGGCAAGACCAAGAAGCAGTTATAAGTATACAAAATTTGATGCTTTGATTGCATAGTCTGGTTTACAGCGGGAATTAGTTCCACTCTTACCAGAGCTTATCACGGAATATCACGAGGGGCCTCACACATAAGGGCTCATCAAATTGTTCCACCATAAAAGTGTAAACCTTAAGATATGATACAATAAAAATAAGAAAATAATGAGACGCATTGTCTCTGAAATCTCACTGGCGAGCCAGGATGCGATAACAAAAGACTATCATTGGCCTATTAGGGGTGTGGCGGTAGTTCTGGGATTCCTGCTGAGCTACTGAAAGTTTTTAAGTCCAAATTTGCAATAAAATTAATTTAAAGGTTATACATTTTTGTCTTGTCTCTGGGTGTTTGCGCTATCTAAGAGAAAAGCTGCAAATGGCCTATTATTCCCGTCTTCTTCAAGTATTTCGTAAGCGAAAATATCTGCAAAGACAAAATTTGAGAAACATGTCTGCACATTTAAAATATGGCGTTTGATCAAATTTCGCACCAGACGGGTAAGTGTGGCGCTAACAGCGCCACTATGAACATACAAATTACGTTTGCTTTAAATACGCGATGTAAATTTCATGTGCTTTATTTATCTCCTATACTGGGCTTTGTGAGCGAGATTTGAGCCAAGAATGCCTTTAAGGAGACAAAGAAGGCAGTATCAGCAGCTTAACTGGGTTTGAATGAGGCCATCTAATAGGGCTGAATTCCACCGACATGGCACCCGACCTAAGGAGTGTCAATCCAAGCGGTATATGTACCATGACAGCAGGCAAATTAATTAAAGAATTTTCAAAAGAGTATGTATATACAACATAGGTTTTACATTAAATTACTACATGCTGCACTGTATACTAACTAATGACTAATAATAATTACAGTAATGAAACTTCATGTTGATTACAATAAGGAAAGGAGGGCGTGGAATAGGGCTACGAGA